ACCTTGTCACATATCACTTACTCTGCCTAGAAAATACCTCTTCCAGTTCCTTTCTTCAGGGAAATCCCAACTATTCCTTCGGCTTCCAGTTTAGATTACAACCTCCCTGGAACTAGCACTATCCATACCTCCAACCATGTTAGGGGCTCTGTGTGTGTGTGTGTGTGTGTTTGTGTGTGTGTGTGTGTACATGTATGTAAAAGTGACTTGTACATATTTTCATGTGCATAAGTGTAGAAATCAGAGGACAATTCGGGCATCTTCCTTAGATATCATTCACCTTTTTTTAAAGAGCTAAGGTCTCTCACTGACCTAGAATTCACCAAGTTGGTTAAGATGACTAGCTGCTTTTCCCTGGAGATCATCTTTCTCTGCCTCCCCAGTGATGAGACTGCAGGCATGTGCCACCATAACTGGCTTTTAAAAACTGGATTCCAGGGACTGAACTAAGGTCTCTGTGCCTACAAGGCAAATGCTTTATCAAATAAGCTATTACCCAAGCCTCTCTCCTGGCACTTCCTTTTTTTTATTCCTCTCTCATATATTATATCATAACTACTGCCCCCCCTTTCCCTCTCTCCAAGATCTATCCCCTTGTTTCTCCTCAGAAAAGAGCAGGCCTCCAAGGGACATTCTCCAAACACAGCATAACAAGCTATAACAAGAGCAGGCACATATCTTCACATCAAGGCTGGACAAGGCAACCCAACAGGAGGAAAAGTCTCACAAGTATGCAAAAGAGTCAGAGACAGCTCCAGCTCCCAGTGTTAGGAATCCCACAAGAGCACGAAACTACTCAGTCATAACATATATACAGAAGATCTAGGTCCGAACCCCACAGGCTTCCTGATCTCTGTGAGCTCCCATGATTCCCAGCCAGCTTATTCTGCGGGCAGTGTTCTTGTGGTATCCCTGAACCCTCTGGTTCCTCCCATCCTTCCTCCCACTCCTCCGCATGACTTCCCTAGTTCTGAATAATGTTTGGCTGTGGGACTGTGCATGGGCTCCCATCAGCTGCTGGATGAAGTCTCTCTGGTGTATTTGATGACAGTTCAGGTCCCAGAACACTCTGCAGGCAGGACAAGCTGTAGGTAGAAGCTTACCTGGTTACAGAAGATGGCTGGCTCAGGATCTGTGTCCCCCATTAATATGAGTCTCTGCTAGGGTTACTCTCATGCATACCATAGTTTCCTTTGTACTAGGTTTCAATTTTGCCCCTAAAAATGCCCCCCAACTCCAGGCATTTCTCCCAGTATTATCTCCCTCCCTCCTCTACCACCTGAACCCTCCTGTTCCCAACCCCACCCACTCCTAGCCCTCCTTGTTACTTAGCCTCTCTGGATGTGTGGATTGTAACATGATTGTCTTAATTAATTACTTAATAATTAATATCTACTTATGAGTGCGTACAGACCATGTCTGTCTGAGTCTGGGCTACCTCACTCAGGATGACCTTTTCTAGTTCTACCCATTTGCCTCCAAATTTCATGATGTTATTTTTTAGCATCTTTATAATATTCCATTGCGTAAATGTACCACAATTTCTTTGTCCATTCTTTGGTTAAGGAGCATTAGGTTGTTTCCAGTTTCTGGCTATTATGAATTCAGCTGCTATGAACATAGTTGAGCAAGTGCCCTTGTGGTAAGATGGAGCATACTTTGGGTATATGCCTATCTCCTGGCACTTCCATGAAATAATTAGAGCAATTATGTCACTGGTGTATTTGTCTGGTTTCTGTAATAAGGTCTAAATTCCAATAGGATAGAAATATTACTTTAATATCCATTTCTCCAGATCACTGCATGGTACAGGTAAAACAGTAGGTGTTTGATGAGTGGCCATGAATTTCATGTGTTTATTGACAAGCACCTTAAAATCTTTTTTCCTAGTACAGCTTCACATGACATAGTAATGACCCGGGGCAAACAGCAAAGGATCAATGGGACTTAGACAAGGAATAAAGGATAGAATTTAAGAATACATGAGAACAGTTACAGGTTCTTAACCACAAAAGCTGATGGTCTCCAATTACTGAATGAAAAGAGATGGGACTGTAGTTCAGTGGTGAGACACTTGCCTAACATTAGAACCTGAAGACATAGGATCTGACCTCTGCTATACTTCAGCTTCAATCACACCAAATTTTATATAACCCCCACTGACCTTGAAGTCATTTTCACCCAACTCTTCTTGTTTTATTCAAGTACAGAGGCTCCTTGACACAAGGCACTGTTGAATATCTATTGTTTACCCTTGTGCTGCATGTCTAACTGGGAGCTACAGCTCATTTCCAAGTTGCTGTATTTCAAAAAAGAATACTGTGCTCTGTATGTTTTGCCCAGAAAAAGATTAAGATTTGAAATTCCATGCACAACTTCTACAGACTGCATCTCAGTATTATAAAGAAAAAAATTACCACTGTAAGGCAGCCACTAGATCTGCTTTTTGGCAGAGTCTGGGAATTCCACCCAGAAAATGCAGATAAGAGTCTGGTGCCAACAGTGGGAAGATCGGGTAGAGGGATATCTTCCCAAATGAAATCTTGAGGCAGATGGTTCTGCTTGGTAGGGTCATGAGTGCCTCATTCCCATCACTACCCCATGTGTTCTTCATAGCTGCCCTGTACACTAAGTCAAGGAAGTATAATTCCCTGCTTCAAAATTGAGGAAACACAATCTTCCAGATCAAATGAGTCAATTTTAGTTTTTCTGCTAGCCACCCCCAGACATAGCAGCAGCTCCAACAGTTATTTTTGCACCTGCTTTGTCCTAGACCCTCTTGGTAATCCCCACATTTTGGAGCTAAGAGGCCTTAGTAAGCATTTGGCTGAAACTGCTTTGTTTCACACAGAACTCGTATTTCCAGTGCTCCCACCCGCCTGAGGGATGAAGACCAAATGAACTGGCTACACAACAACTCTTTAAACCCCTCCATTTTCCCAGTGGGAACCCAGGGCCATCCGGTGCTGCTCACTGAAATTTCTCTCTGCAGTGGTTGGTACCTATCTCTTCCACTCCTGACACGCTTTCATTTCTGTGGCTGCAGGACCCTAGCCTCCAGTGTATCCAAAGGACAGAAACTGAGGTCCAGAACTGGGATGTGACTTGACCTATAAGTCCATAAAGAGGAGGGGCAGACCTCGGAGTTGACACTGACTTTGACTACCAGTGCAAGCCTCTACCTGCTACTACACTGCTGTTTCCCACAAAAGTGCAGAGACTGGAGCCCAGAGGCAAGTATCATATCACACCAAGAGCTCTGCTACAGCTGTGGCTACTGCTTTAAATAGTAAATACTATGGGCACCTTTTGTCAACACTCTAAAATTGAATCTCCCCATCCTTAAGAGAATGGAGAAATGTTAAGTAAAAAAAAAGACTTGGGGAGGAGGGTAACAAAAAGACTGCTCAAAGAGAAAATTAAAACTACTCCAGATACCCAAAAAGGGAAATTAGAAGCAATCTGCTACTGTGGAAAAAAGGTGTTAGACAAACCACAAAAATGCATCAGCAAAACCACTTCTTTTAATTCAAGTTCAAGTAGACTTTGCAACAGAAACAATATACACACTACTGCTATAGCCAAGGGTGCAGTCAGCACAGCTCACTGAAAGAGCAAGCTGAAAAGTCACAAGCTGCTAACCTGAAGAGAACTGAGAACTATGAGCAGGAATTGACTAGGCCCTTACTCAGTCTGGAGAGATTAAATGTTCTCATTTATCTTTGCTATAGTCCAGTAGGCATGGTCAAGTGTTTGAGAGACCAAAAAAGTGGGTTTGGGCCCTGCAGTGCTGCACGGACAAGCTGTCTGGGCACTGTTTCAATACAGAGGCAAGTTCCCAAACATCTCAAGGCTATGAATACTTTGGGGTGTGTGTGTGTGTGTGTGTGTGTGTGTGTGTGTGTGTGTGTGTGTGTGTGTGTGTGGTTACTTCAATCATGTACAAGTATTTTCATCTATAAACAAAAATGTCTAACAACTATTTCTGAAGAAAGTTCGGCTTATTGTATCCATTGAATTATATTGACAGGGTATTAATAATAGCCGATATTTAGTGAGAATGTCTCATGTATTGTCTTCTTTAATCCACCCAATGTTCCAGAGAAGTTTGCATGATCACTGTACCCATTTTGCTACTGCCCCCAAAATAATGAAGCGACTTGCCTGATGGCATATAGCCAACAAGTGTCTGAGCTGGAATACTCACTGGCTGGTTCCAAAGCAGATATTCAACTATATAGTAGGTGGCCACAAGACCTGCCTATATCTAAGTTCTGTCCCTGACTAAATGTGTACCTTTCTGTCCTGAGGGAGGCCCATTTTATTTATTAAGATATACTCTATACCAGGCACTGTTCTAGATACTGTGTTATTTCACCTAACGCTTAGAACAACCCACTGAGATATGTACCACTATTATCAAGTTAAAAAATGAGAAGGTTGAGACTCACTATTTAAAAAAACTAATTGTTCAAAATCATACAGCTAAGAAGTGTTTGGTCTATCTGAAAGTAATGTTATGTAAGGAGTGTCCTTGCTTACAGTTTCACTGGCTAAAATCAGCCAACAGTTCACTAGTAAATGTTTAACAACTGGCTCTCCAGGGAAAATGAAAGGGCTGTCAGCCCCAGGCAAGATGAAATAAGCATACTCTACTTTTGGATGCAGCTATAAAACCTGGATAAATTCATGGAGGAGCTATTCAAAGATGCAGAAAAGTAAATAGAAGAAGGTAGATTGCAAAAGAAAACCAGAATTAAGTATTACCAAGTAGATGGCAAGATTACCATTCCTATCTCTCCTCCCCATGATGCCTAAGAAGCCACAGACTGAAACCCAAGTGTAATACCATCAATGTGAGCAGATAAAGCTCCAGGACAATCTCTGTTTCTAGGTTAACCACTAGAAGAAATCCCTAATGCACACATGTTTCAGAGGATTTTATTGTTGCTTACTTGCTTTATTCCCTTGCTCCATTATTTCATGTCCTAGATCCATAGCAACTCAGTGACAGAGGTACAAGATGAGATCAAAATCTACCAGGTTGTTTGCTTGAGATGTGACACAAAGGGTGACATAACTGAGTCCAGGAGCTAAAAACCCGCAATTTCAATATGAAGGAATAAAAAGGAACCATAAATCATAAGGAAGGCTGCAGAGCAGGAGGATGTCAGGTAAGCAATCTCATAAAATATTGGAGTAACTACTAAGTCTATGGCCAAGTTGTGGGTGTATATGGATTTGGTTGCAATTGCCCAGGTTCTATTGAATCATGCCAAAACCCTTTAAGAGCCGAACTACTAGCTAGGTCAGTATGCAGGTACCAAACTGATGACTGGATGGCACATATTAGAGAGAGATCTGAATAGCAATGCAAAGGTTTGTGAAGTTGAATGAAAGTTAGAACCGAAGCCAGCCCACAAAAGGTGAATTGGAAATTGTAGCCAGATGAATCAGGTAAGCTTAATAAAATATACACATTTCCAAAGACTTAAAACAGGTCTAGAGTAGTGGTTCTCAACCTGTGGATTGCGAACCCTTGGGGGGTTGAACAACCCTTTAACAGGGTCACCTAAGACCGTCAGAAAATATAGATATTTACATCACATAACAATAGCAAAATTACAGCTGTGAAGTAAAAATAAAAATAATTTCATGATTGGGGGCTCATCACCACATGAGGAACTGTATTAAAGGGTAGCAGCATTAGGAATATTGAGAACCACTGTCCTAAAGTCTTATAATATTCAAAATTTCCAAGATATAATAATCACTTAGCATCAAAATATGTAAGAAAATATCTATTTATATGATAATAGACAATCAAAAATGTCAGTGACCAAATGTCACAGGTGTAATTACCTAATAACTTTAAAACAGTTATTTTAAAAATGACCCTGCAAGAAATCATGAACATTCTTAAAACAATTAGAAAAATGTCTTGAAAAAGAACAGATGTAAAGAATCCAATAAAAAGTTTAGAATTGAAGCCGGGCAGTGGTGGTGCATGCCTTTAATCCCAGCACTCAGGAGGCAAAGGCAGGCAGATCTCTGTGAGTTCGAGAGACCAACCCAAGCTACAAAATGAGTGCCAGGATAGGCTCCAAAGCTACACAGAGAAACCCTGTCTCGAAAAACCAAAAAAATAATTTAGAATTGATAAGTATGGTAATATCTCAGGGATAAATATCTCAGGGATCAAGTAAGTTTGAAATGGCAGAAGATCTAATGACCCTAAAGATTAGTTAATAAAGACTATACAATCTGAACAAGACAAAGAAAAAAAGATTTTTTTCTTTAAAAAAGCAAGACTCCCTCATGTGTGGTATATACTGATTCCCAGAGTGAAATATTTCTACCATGGTGGATGTTAAGGTGCTAACAAAATCTTTGGATGCATAGCTGGGAATTGAGGCACACATCTGATAGCAGAGATATTAGGTTTGGAACCCAAGTTCTGGGAACATATCAAGCAAGGCTCATTCACCTAGCCTCGGTAATCTTATTTTAAAAAATCAGTAAGAAAAGATCAGAAAAATGAATCTATTCAATATAGACACTCTGGGAAAGTGAACAAAGATTGGTGACAAGTCTGGCTTGAGGCTCTGACATGAGGACAAGGTTTAAGTAGAAGGCAGGAGTTGTGTGTAACTAAGCAGTCCTTGTCAAGGTGCTATCTCTTGCCCACCACCATTGCCTCAGCTCCATTCTCTCCTGCAACATTGTCTGGCAAACTGGAAATCTTTCTCCAGGAGAAAAGTTCCTTCTCTGGCTATTCCCAGGGTCTAAATCTTTCCTTCTTCCAGTATGAGATGCCAGGGGAATCTCCAATTTCTTGGGATTCATTGTTTCCATAGTCTGGTATCCAAAGGGAGAGATACAAGTATCTCTTTAGCATATATTCATTACTGGTAAGATGCTTGGTTTTGCTTCCAGATATGTCTCACCCCCTCAGGTAAAACTAACAAGGATTGAGGTCTACTAAATCTTTTGACAACATACACCCAGAAGCTACTGGTTTCATTTTTAATCACTCCAAATCTTGTCTGAACTCTCTCTGGGGCCCTACCCCAACTTGGTTTCAAATGGATAAACATACTCAGAAGGCAAAGGTAAGACTGACAAGGACCTACCCTACCCCAACTTGGGGGAAGCCCACAGGTATGAGAAGAGACTTCTCTGCACAAAGGAAATGAGCTGAATAAACCAACATAAAGCCAGCAGGGATTCTCAAAGTAGTAGCCTGATGCCTCACACAGATAAAATGTGAATAACATAGCTTAGATAAAAAGCCCAGCATGAGAGTATACTATATGTGAAAGCAAAGTTGGCCTTTAATTGATCCCTGGGTCCCATCTTATTAATAAACTTTGTACTAAAAACCACTCTAGCCTTCCTTCTGAATACAATTCCCCAAAAGGCTGGTAAAGCAGTGAAGACCAAAAATTCAATAGCAGTTATTCATTTCTACATGAGTCCACTATTTGGCAAAGGCACATAATGTCCAGGTACGCATGATTCCAACATTCTTACTCAAAACTCCACTGCATACAGCAGATAAAAGTCCGATTATCTGATATTCAAAAAGTTCCTCTCTAACCTAACCTTCTTGCATATATACAAGAATCAAAGTCCCCAGTGAACAAATGGTTTTCTCAAGGTCGTGAAGCTAATGAACCAGAACAGAAAAGGAGCTCTCCTTATTCCTAGTCCAGTGCTTTACCTCTGACAGCACACTTGCCCTTTTGCATCCTTTTCGGAATAAAATATGACTGACCCGTGCTAAAAGAGATAGAGACAATCTGTATGTGGTTTAGAGGAGAATTTTTTTTAATTCCCTAATAACAGCTGACACTGAAAGCATCAAGAAGTACTTAAAGCTAGTGCTAATTGCTGTACAAGTTAGAAAACAAAAACACATTACAAATTAAAGAATTCCAGCAGTCCCCTCTAAGCAGTAAGCTTAGGGTATCGCTACGGTGCTATCATGGCGCTGTTAAGAAAGTACGGCGCCCAAGGTGAGGAACATATCCTGGATGCTGTCTGTTATCACTCTCCCTCTATAGCAGCCTGCCAAGTCTGGCCAATTGTTTGACAAGGCAGCTGTGAGTGTGCCTGTTAATTACACCATGGGGGCACCAAAGTGCAATGTCAGGCAGCTGCCTAGAATATCAAATGGCTACAGGGTGAAACAGGCCAGCTCTAAGGACTCTCTCTTCAGAGAAGTCCGTGAAGCAGCTGGCTCACTCCCCTCTCCCACATAACCTCTTCAGGAAGATAAAATGATGTATTTTCAGCATAGTTAAGATAAAATCCATAACGTGACCTATGTAACTGATAGGTCTGACATGTTGGAATGGGATGGATATGAACACTCATACTTCTGTCTATCATAATAGTAATGTCTCCGTGAATATCTACATAGTATTTGAATTAATCTATTTAGCTCATCTAATTAGAAGTAGTGGGAACAATTAAGGTTGTTTCCAAATAATCATAGCTAATACTTACAGGGTCCCGTATGTGTCAGATACTTTACCAAGGACAGCATAAGGCAGGTGCTATTTTATGCCCATTTTGTTGATGATAAAACTGATATTTAACAGATAAATGATTTATCTATATTATTAATACATACTGTCTTAGTTACTTTTCTATTGCAGTGCCAAAACACCTTCACCAAGGCAACTTATAAAGGGAAGTACTTAGTGTTACAGTTTTAGAAGGATAGAGTCCATCATGGCAGAGCAAAGGCATCATGGCAGGAACAACTAAGAGTTCACATTTTGAAGCACAAGCAGGATCAGAGAGTGTATACTGGGGATGGCAGGAGGCTTTTGAGCTTTTGAAGCCTTAAGCCCACCTACAGTAATACATCTCCTCCAACAAGGCCATACTTCCCAATCCTTCCCAAACAGCCATTAACTGAACACAAAATATTCAAATGCCCATGATTTGCAGGGGACAAGGTCTTCAAACCACCACATACAGCTAGTAGAGAACACAGGTAGTATTCAAATCTACACAACATGGTACCTCCATGTTGTTAACCAGTGCATATTTTTCTCAAAAAAAAGTTAATAACAGAAGCCCAGCATACAGTATTTACAGAGCATCTAAAATATGTATGTACTTGCTCTTCTGTTCTAGTCACTACCTTTAAAAACAAGTCAACTTTCTGCATCTCTGCTAAGTTAAAGAAGGAAAAAATTCAATTTTGAATAGTATGATAATAAAGGCTTAATGGAAGAGGCAGTTTCTGAGTTAAACCTGGAAAGATTATGTTCATTTATGACTACCTGAGGTTAGAAGATCCAAACATCTATATATTTGTAAATGGGTATCTAATAATACTATAAAACATAAGATATTTGTTAATTTTTTATTTTTGGACTGTACTTTAAAGTTAAATTGATGATACTTATCTAGTAAGAAAAAAAGGAGTTCCAACAGGTAGGCATTCAAAGCAAAGAAACCAAGGCAAGCATACTCACACAAGTTCCTAACCTAGTCATAGGAAATATTTATGAGGCTGGTGCCCTGACAGTGTGCTTGGATCACGAAGATGTTTTATTCCAATGTGAAGGAACAACTGAGATTGGTGATGAGGTCAGGAAATGGAAGAAGTAGAATGTTGTCTCTCTTTGGAGACAGACAACAGAATGAACATAGACCAGAGAAGCCACTGACCATCCGTTTTCTCCCTGCCCTTCCTGGTGACTCTACTGTTAACAGAGGTAAATTACTGCAAATCAACGGCATAATAATGTTGCATTAGCATTCTCTGCGAGTTCAAATTCAAGTCATTACAACAGTTTCTCCCTAAGACTTGATTAAACTTCTAAAGGAGTTCTAATAAGTCATCAAATGTTTTACCTTACTAAAAGTCCCCAGAAATGCAGCCACAGCGATGCATTTTCCTTTCAGTATCCCCAATCGTCCCCTTTTCCTTTTGCAGAAAAAGAATGAGTTATAGTTTCTACACAGCGTAAATTCAACTTTTGCCATGTTTTGTAAGTATTGACAAGTTACCAACAAAATCAAAATGCAGACAATTCCATAGTCCCACAAATTTCCCTAATTCTGTCTTCATAGCCTTCCCCTGTCTCTACTCTGCAATTCCTGGTAATCACTGAAATATTTTTTTTACCTAAATCATATAGTAATACGGCATTTTTAATGCTGACTTCCTTCACTTAGGCATAAAGATTTGAGTTTCATCTATATTGTTAGGAACCGATATCTGTTCACTTTTATTGCTGAATCTTCCATTTCATAGATGTGGTATTATTTATTTAGTATGTGTGGGTGTTTTGTCCATATGTGTGTTTGTGTACCATGTGCATTCAGGGTCTGTGGAGAACAGAAGATGGTATTTGAAACACCTGGAACTAGAGTTACAGACAATTGTGAGTTGCCATGTGGGAGTTGAATCCACCTCTTCTGGAAGAGCAGCCAGCACTCGTATTTGCTGAGCCATCTCTCTCAGCCCATAATTTTTAACCATTCACAAGAAGGAAACTTGAGTATGTTCCAGATTTTAGTGTTGTGACCTGAGCTACTATCAACATTTGTATAGGGGTCTTTACATAAACATAAAATTCATTTCACTTGGGTAAATAGTTATCTGGCAATTGACATATATTGATGATATATTAACCTAATGAACTGTGGAAACCTAATTATAGAAAACAATCCCTTTTTTAAACTGGGAAAATATATGAACAAACCCTTTATCAAAGGTTTATAGACTACAAATAAGCACCTGTAAGGGCCCTCAAAAGCAATACTACATTACTTTTGAGGAATGTGAATTTACAGGGAGACACTATCATGTAATTATTAGAACTCTTAAATTTTTTAAGACTGGCATTAACAATCAGAACTATTAAATTTTGATAGTGGAACTACAAATGGCACAGTAATTCAGAAAATTTCTCAGTAGTTATTTAGTTAAGCATGAGGCTACCATATAATCCCATTCCTCAGTCTCTGCCTGGGGGTTTCAAATGAAAATTTAGCAGGTGGAATTTTTCTAGCCTTCTTAATCAGAATCCAGTGAATATATTCTATTGTTCCATGATTTGGGTTTACTATTATGGCACTATTGGATTATGCTTGAATCTTTATTTCATCTACCTTCCAAGAACATTAGGTCTACTTTACACCATTCATGGACCAATTGCTAAGAACAGATATAAACAGTCAAGGCAATTTCCACAGTTTTAAAAGGAAAAATCCACTTAAGGCTATTTTGCCCACATGGCTGCTTAAGCGTTAACTCAACTTCAGATTGCTGAACTTTCTCTATTTATACATATCTCTTAAAATTCTATTCCACCTTTGCATTTAAGGGTTTGATTGTTATTTCTCCTGGTACTCAGTGAACTTGATGCTGGTAGCTCATCATCTAATTTGCTGTGAGCCATCAAGTCAGATAATGAAGTCTATTAGAGTTGTGTGCAAAATAAGGAGTTGGGTTCTGATCACCTCTCCTGATGTTTCTCCTACAGGGTAAAGTCCATGGTCTTTGCAGGTGTTTTTTGACCTCAAAAAGGCCTTCTCTTTTTCTTTTCAGGTTCTGGCCATAGTCCAGAGATGCCAGTTAAGATTGCTGGAAATCTAAACTCCAGATAAAAGGATGATTCCACAGTTTGTATCTCTCTAATCAGTGGAACAATTTGCACTATCTCTGTGCTGTGTGGAACAAGTGAGCCTTATAATCTAGGTGAATTAAGACGTTTGCATAAACTTAACACAGTTAGCAACAGAACAATGGTGAAGAAACCATTAACTCAAGGAGCAAAAGCAATGCCTGTTAGAACAAGAAATGAGCACAAATAAAAATGTCTTCCAAGTTTTGCCGCCTGCATTTATATGCCTCTATTTCTTATCGGAATAACTGTACTTGGGGAGTGGAAAGTACATTTTTTAAAAAGTGTATGTGTTCCATCTTTACCCATGTTAAATGGAAAGTCATTTAGCACAAGCACAGCCTCTCGACACAATGTGCAATTGTCCTCCTAGATTCTAATGGCTTTGTGACCTCACAGGAGAGCTGCATTACCACTACAATTTAGCAGGAGAAAACAGCTGTTCTACTCAGTGCCTTTTTGTTCACCCATGTTGTTATAGAAAAGTAAGTCTTAAGAGAATAAAGAAACCACTTACTTTCTAAATCAACTTCTGTTCTGCCAAAAACATTCAGACCTTCTACTATTTTTTTAAATCAGTATGTTTGGGACAAAGTATTCTAGAAAAGGAAATCAAAAACTGCTCTTTGCTTTGTACCAAATATACTGTCTCAAATTTCCATTCCAAAGAAGGGTTTAGTCACTTGCCGAATAAAATAATTTTCCACAGAACAGGAAATGAGGAGACTGTATATTCTATCAGATGGGCAACTGAACAAACAGGGCTCCAGGTGGCTAATGTCACAAGGGTGAAGACACCCTGGAGAATAATGAGGCTCTGGATTTCAATGGCCTTCTCTTCATCAATATCCAGCACAATATAACTGCATTTCTAACAGGATAGCAAGACATTTCCAAACAACCCCAGATAATAATCTATTCTAATATAATTCAGTTTCTTCAGAAGGGTGTAATTTATTGCAATGCTGAGCTGTTTATATCCTTCCTCTCCTTTCATTATCTCTCTTTAACCTCGGTTTTTTTTTTCTAAAAATCTCTTTCTTGGGCAGTTCCAGCAAAAGGTGCCAAAAACTGAAGTACACAGATCCCTTATTATTTGTTTTGAAAGACTATAAAGGTTGAGAGATTTATTTTGTCTGTTTTATTTTAATGAAAATTGACTATGCCATTTTCCCTTCTAAGAATATTTCCAAGCTCTGCTTCTGAGGTAACTGAATGCTTCAACATTTTAAAAATGACTGCATCACCCACACATACTACATGTGTCATTAAAATGGTTCATTTATGATATTTGTGTTTAGGTAGCTCTATAGGCAACATCAATATGTAAGGGACTGAATGTAATTTGACAAGTAGAGACAGGGTTGTGAAGGGCAAGTCATTTCTGGTAGAGGGACGTAGCTGTGTTAAAATCCAGAAGTGGGCATATACCAGGGACATTCAATGGATTAACAATAGTCCAGTTTGATTAGTCAATGGGTTGCTTGAGTGGGCAAAGAGATGGTCTATTAAATAACACAGTTTATATGCACATAGTGAGTCCATTTAATGTGGCTTGTATCTATGTGTTTACAGCTGAGCACTTAGGATTGGATAACCTTTCAGGATGACAACTTCAGACATAGAACTTAGAAGAATCAAACTGGAACTAACCCGGAAGTCTCCTCCCTGGCTTTCATAGTCTCAGAAGGTGCTATGCAAGCTGCCAATGGAGAAAGACAAGCAATAGTCCTACTCATATGTAAAGTCTATAAATCACAACAATGACTGGCCTGACAAGAAGTCCTTAATGGTACAACAGTGACACTTTGAATTGGGGGGTTCACCAAAAGCTATCTAAAACAATGTTTTCTACATAGAGGAGCAAACATTCTTTTAGGGGCTAAGCACTACACTCACTGGTCATGGCACCTTGTTACAAACCTTGAATTATATTAACAAACTAATCATAAATGTGACCATAATGGTGTGGTTATATTGTTTAAAAATTTTAGAACCCAACACATTTCAGGGATTCATGTATAAAACAGTACAATAATAGGGATTTGCTCCAAAATAACACAGGAGGAAATGGGGCATGGTTGAGTAAAACCACAGTGGCCATAAGATAAAATTGCTGCATCAGGGCAATTGCTACATAAGGATTTGTCACACTGTTGTTTACTTTTGTGTATGTTTAACATTTTCCATAGTAAAAAAGTTAACCTTTAATCATTCGAATGTCTACAGAAGGATCAACTCCCTAATCTGTTTTCCAAGGCCTTATTTAAAGTTTGTATTTGGAAAGCTAATGTTTAAACCTCATGTAACCCACAGACAAACCAAAGTAGACTGCTGACAAGTCACTGAATGTACCTGGTAAATCCCCCACTTTTGGACTTTAAAACATCTGCGTCCCTCTATCAGAAATGGTTTGCCCTTCCCAATTCTATCTCTACTTGTCAAATTCCATCATAATCCCTTTCATTGCCTTTTGGATCACTATTAACTACCTCATTAAGTGAAGTATAGATGGTAATATATAATAGTAAAATTGGAAGAAGAAACATACCAAAAAAGGCAGGAAATGGATTTGGCATTGGAACTCAGATCCTCATGCTTGTACACCAAGTACTCTTATCCACTGAACCATCATCCCAGCCTCTCTGCTTACCTTTTAATTAAGGATTTGATTGGTTCAAGGAAGATGATGTAAACAAGCACTTCCTAGGTACCCATCAAAAAGTGAGATTGCTCAAACATTAGTAACGAACAATTTACACATAGTTTTTGTACTCTATAAATTTCAAGATAAAACTTGGAATAGATAAAAATAGGGCAGTCTCTGACAACAAAAGAACTCATGCTTCAAGAGTAAGTCACCCATTTGATATTGAAAATTTTCTTTTTCTAATTTTTTTTTCATTTTATATACCAACCCCAATTACCCCCCTCCCTCTCCTTCTCCAACAACCACCTTTCCACCCCCATCACCTCCTCAGAGGGGGTAAGGCCTTTTCTTGGGGAGACAACAAAGTCTGGCATACCAAGTAGATACAGGACCAAGTCCCTCCCTTCTGTATGAAGGCTGAACAAGGTATACCTCCATAGGCAATGGGCTCTAAAAAGCCAGTTCACATACCAGGGATAGGTCCTGGTCCAACTGCCATTCCCCTGCCAACAAATCAAGCCACATAAATGTCACTCACATTCAGAGGGCCTATTTTGCTCTCATGTAGGTTCCCTAGCTGTCAGTCCAGAGTCCCTGAGTTCCCACTAGCTCTGTGGTTTTCCTATCATGGTCTTGACCCCACCCCCTTGTTCATATGATCCCTCCTCTGTCTCTTCAGCTGAACTCCAGGAGCTCAGCCAAGTGCTCGGCTTTGGGTCACTTTGTCTGCTTCCATCAGTTACTGGAGAAAGGTTCTATGATGACAATTAGGGTGGTCACCAATCTGATTACAGGAGAAGACCAGTTCAGGCATTCTCTCCACTATTGTTAGGAGTATTAACTGTGGTCATCCTTGTGGATTCCTGAGAATTTCCTCGGCATCAGGTTTCTCCCTAACCCCATAGTGGCTCCCAGTTATCTCTTTCATTGCTCTTCCCCTCTGTCCCTCCTTCAACTTGGCCTTCTAGATCCCTCATGTTCTCATGCCCCATCACTCATCTCCTCCTTTCTACCCTCCTTTTGGTTCACCCAGGAGATCTTAACTATTTTCCCTTCCTGGAACCCTCCATGTCTGTCCCTAAAATGCTAAAGAAGGAAGGGCTAGAGTTAAGGTTACTTGCTGCCCTTCCAGAAGACCCAAACGTTCAGTTCTCAGCACCCATGTTGGGCAGTTCATAACCACCTGCAACTGTAGTTCCCAGTGATGTGACACCTTCTGGCCTCTACAGGCATTGCACTCATGCACACAAACCCACACTCAGAAACACACACTCAGAAACACACGCTCAGAAACACACACGCACACACAGATTCATATAATTAAAAACAATTATTTTTTATTTGTGTATTTTCAAGAATGTGTTTTAATTACAACATTATTACCTACCCTTTCCTTCCTCCAAGGCTTCTCATATACCTCTCCCTGCTCTCCTTCAAATTTGTGGTCTCTTTTCTCATCAACGGTTATAACATGCATACATGTATTTGTATATACATTTGTATCTTCAAATACATCATGCTCAGTCTGTATAATGTTACTTGTATGCATGCTTTCAGGACTGACCTTTTGGTACTGGACAACCAATTGGTGTGCTCTTTGCTGGGGAGGGCCACATCTCCAGTTTCCAGCTTTACTAAGTTGCCTATAGTTCATTGTAGGGTTGAAGCCTCATGGGCTTTCCCCCATGCGGTTTGGCAAGTTCGTTAGTGCCCTCGTTCAGTTCACTTTTGGATGGACTTCTTGGTAAGACTGTATGGGCGTAATAAAAAAAAAAGGAAATACTTAAAAGTTAGCAGTGCTTTTCTGTATCTAGTAAAATGAAAGTCAATTTTTCTTTTCTCTTTTCAGTGTCTCAGATATTTTTCTTTTCAGAAAAGACTTCAAAGAAAGGAAAGAAAGGAGGCATCAATCAGGTCACTGGTATCTGTCTCTGTTTGCCTGGTCCCCATGGCTGACCACCTTACTGTCAGCATTAGCTAGATAGTTGATCCTTATTCTGATCAGGCTAACAGGGACCCTGCATCCACAACTGCACTCCCAGCTATGTCCAACAGAGAAGGAGCCCAGTTAAGCTACTGGTCCCTAGGACCTACTTCACCCCTTGGAACCAGTGGCAAATGTGATGGGATGAGTTGGTGCAGGAGTCCCTTCAGCTGAAGCCATTCAGTTTTAACTAGAATTTGATCTCCTTGATGGAGAATCCAGTGGAAAATTCCCACTGACTCTACATTAGGAACCTGAGGTCAAGATGCCAGCTAACTTATCTCAGCTTTTGTTAAACTGCTTGCTAAGCTCTCTCCAGCTAACTTCTTAGCTCAGCTCCTGTTAAGATGCCTGCTTGATCAACCTTCCCACCCCCTGTGTTGCCACATATATACCAGGACATGGATTTTGTCTTTAAAACACCCTTTCCCCAAACACTGAGGGCTATACTTGGGTTCCAAATACCTGAGTGTAGTCTGAGCAGGTTGGAATAAAGACTTTCAACTGGTTATGAACTGGCCTCAGATGTTTTTAAAGTAGCAATATTTATATAATCAATGGAAATTGTTTTAAATATATATTTA